TTTTGAGTAAGCGCTAGTTTACTATAAAATTTACATACATAAGAGATATTTATGTAAAGACTTGATTTAACTTCACACATTTTTGCGAAAATTGAGGCCCGTCTGTAGCCTTGACCCCGCTGGTAAAGTCTTTATATGTCTTAATATATCAATCTTTTAGACCGACGCCAGGTACTTAATAATTCCCGCGATATTAATTCCCATACTGAAGTAACAAGGCTACGGTATATACCGTCTTAAAATACTAACTAACTAAAAAGTGTGAAATAAAAAAGGTAAATTAAAAAAATCAAAAAACCCGACTGCTTAATTATACTTCAAATAAAAACTGAAAAGAAAAAAACAAGTCCAGTAGTCTATAATTCTGTTAATAAGGAACAAAGCTACTTTAACAGTCGGGACCCACTGTTGAAAAATATGTATTATGTATTCTTGAATATCTAATGGGTCCCGACTGTTAAAGTAGCTTTGTTCCTTATTAACAGAATTATAGACTACTGGACTTGTTTTTTTCTTTTCAGTTTTTATTTGAAGTATAATTAAGCAGTCGGGTTTTTTGATTTTTTTAATTTACCTTTTTTATTTGCAATAAAGGTGATCACTCAATTAATGTTTGTTCACAATTTAAAGGTCTGAGTTCACCTCAAGTTCGGTTCGATTTTATTAAATCGAAAAAAAGGTAAATTTAAAAAATCAAAAAACCCGACTGCTTAATTATACTTCAAATAAAAACTGAAAAGAAAAATACAAGTCCAGTAGTCTATAATTCTGTTAATAAGGAACAAAGCTACTTTAACAGTCGGGACCCATTAGATATTCAAGAATACATAATATTGTTCAACAGTGGGTCCCGACTGTTAAAATAGCTTTGTTCCTTATTAACAGAATTATAGACTACTGGACTTGTTTTTTTCTTTTCAGTTTTTATTTGAAGTATAATTAAGCAGTCGGGTTTTTTGATTTTTTAAATTTACCTTTTTTTAGTATTAAAGTGAGACATAGGTATGTATGGTCCGTGATTTTGAACTTTCGAACAATGTGTACAACCTCCGTAAACACATTTTTTCGTACAAATGTGTTAAAAAATATATTACACCATTTAAAAGATGACTTTTAGCAATCTTTAATCTATAGACAACTAGCGACCGCCCGCGACTTCGTACGCGTGGAATTAGTTATTTGCACATACTTTTTGACCCCAAAAGGGGGTTTATTTCTTAAGATACATTATTTTATTAGTACACCTCTACACCATCTATAGAGCATACATGTCAAATTTCAAGTCTCTTACTTCAAAAACATAGGACTTTCATACAAACTTCCAACCCCCGTATTACCCCCTTAGGTGTTTTTGAAATCTCATGGATTTATTTATATCCAAAAAGTGCTTACACATGTAATTCGACTTGATGTTTTTGAAATCTCATAGATGGCGCTGCTTTAAAATTGTCTATTATGTTTATCGGCCTAAGTTACTGAGTGTTAAGCTAGCTTATAGCAATGTTAACATAATAACAACATTCAAATATGCATCGTTAGATTACACGTTGTTACAGAATGCGTTGAAGAAATAGGCTAGGAAACTATAGGCATATTTCAATATTATCAATTTTTGCTAAAATCCTTGAAACTTTAATATCAGGGCCACTACGATTTCACCTTAAACAATACCATATGTGTGTGCATCAGCATGGCTTTACGAGCGCTAGATCCACTAGTACGAACTTGGCGATTTTCAGTGAGTCTCTAATACAAGCTGTTGATGCTGGAAAGCAATTCGATGTTATTTACACGGATTTATCGAAAGCCTTTGATAGGATCTTCCGTGAAATCCTGCTGGCAAAATTGACAATCTATGGCGTGTCTGGGTCTGTAGCACTGTGGCTGGACGCATATCTTAGTGGGAGGACTTTTACGTGGCTAGTAATGGTTTTAATTCCACATGACAAAGTATCATATATCAGCGTTGCAGCGACAATCCATTTTTGCCGTTACAACATTATGCTGAGGTAGGGCCTAGTTGACGATGTACCTTTTGTTTTATTTTTGTTGTGTATTTATTGTAATTGTTAATGTATATCGTCAATAAATGTTTTTCTTTCTTTCTTTCTATATCTGGAATGCCACAGGGATCACATTTGGGGCCAGTTTTTTCAACTTTTCCATGAACAATATTCCCAGTTGTTTTCATCATTCAACACCATTTATGTATGCAGACTACCTAAAGTTTGGGAGAATAATTGATTCAGTAGCTGATTCGGTACAACTGCAGTCAGATTTGGATAGGCTTGTGGTGTGGTGTAAACAGAACCGGACGAACCTAAACCGGGAAAAATGTCTTGTGGTTAATTTTACATGAAAAAAAAAATTATTGTGACTATCGTAATTAAGATATGCTCGTTCAGGATAAAGATATAATTAGGGACTTAGGTGTTATTTAGGATCACAAGTTGACATTTGTGCCTCATATAGAGAACATTATTAAAAGAGGATCTAAAGTACTGGTATTCTTGATAAGAAGTACCAAACCATTTCGAAACCCAAAAATAAAAATAATACTATATTACAGTCTCATTAGATCTATCTTGGAATACTGTAGTATAGTCTGAAGACCACACTATGCCACCCATTCCCTCCGCATAGAAAGGCTACAAAAACGATTTGTGCTAGTTTTGGCATTTTCCATTTGCAAAGCTAAGGATCTTGGGTCTTACACTGAAAGGCTAAGATATTTTGGAATGTTGTCTTTGACAGACAGGCGAGAATTACTAGATATTATATTCCTATTTAAATTGGTAAAAAACACCACTGACTTCTCGCAGCTACTAGCACTCTTCAAATTCCGAGCACCATCTAAAATACCGTGCAAACCAATTACACCACTTTGTCAATCGTCAAGGGTGGCTTGAGAAGAACGGTACTTGGTTCCAACTCCCCCATTGCGAGATTATCCTATACCCTAAACAAATATAGTGACATTGTCGACATATATCATGACTCTGTAATCTCATTGCGAAACAAATTGTATGATCACATATTTCCTCCGAATTCATAAAAAAATATATAAAAATATTTTGAAACATATTTAAAGAAACACACACACACACACACATTCACCCACACACACGGATACACACACACACATACACACACTTGATTTTAATTAGTAATACCTGCTTAAGCTTTATGTAATGCATGCTGAGTTCGCCTATAAGTGGTTACACATTATATCACTGAATGTATTGTATTAAATAAGATTTCAAAAATTCATATCTTTTTTCGTAGTAGGTATTTTGCAGTCTTTTTTTTGTGACATAATTGTCTTGACTGTTGTTTTAATAAAAAAAAAAACAACTCAGCTCTCTGAAATTACTCAAAATTACTCAAAAAGGGCTTGAAAGTTGGAACTTTAGTTTTTAGTAGGATTTACTTAGGAAATTTTACTGAAACATTCAATTCAATTAAAAAATACATAAAGGAGTTTCCATAGCTTTTAGCGAAAATTAAAAACTCCGCATGCTTCTAAACTACCAAAACTCATAAAAAAATGTACTTAATCAGCCTATTTTTGTTGTAATTGGCCTTCGAAGGCGGATAGCCCAAAACTCATTGAAACACGATTAAAGCATAAAAAATTATTTTATCTACTTCTTATCATTGATATGGTAAATTCAACTTAAAAATGTAATTTCAAATTTAATTTAATTGAAATCCCTGGAAATAACTTTAGCATGTGGAATTTTATAATAATTTCGGTTTCACCACTAAGATTTTAAATTTGAGCAAGAATAAAGATCAAAATGGCTAGTTGGGAAATTTTCTGTTTTTTAAACAAATTAAAAGCACAAATTCCTGAAAAATGACTATTTATTGCAGTAAATTTTTAAAATTCCTTCCGCCAACCTGAATTCACAATTGACAACGTCTTAAAAAGTTAGGATTTAACTGTCTGAAGCTACTTGAACATTCTTGCTTTATTTTTCCTTATGCTTCTGTAATTTTTTGTCTCAATTCTTGTTCGCATTTTAAATCTTAGTGGTGGAACCGATATTATTGTAAAATTACACATGCTTTTACAGAAGCTATGGAAATTCCTTTTTGTGTTTTTATTTGAAGTTGAATGTTTGAGTAAATCCTACTAAAATCTAAAGTTGGAAATTTCAAGCCTTTTTTGAGTAACTTTAAGTAATTTCAGGAAGCTGAGTTTTTTTTTTATTAAAAAAATATTCAAGACAATTGTGTCACTAAAAAAAAGACTGCAAAATACCTACTATGAAAAGAAATATGAATTTTTGAAACCTCGCTGGCAGAAAACATTAAAAATACCCAAAAAAAATTACTTATAACTCGAAAACTAAGAAAAATCGCGAAACATAGGTATATGGGGTATTTTCGGATACCCCCAGGTGCGAGGTATCTAAAAAAAATTTCATTGTCACTAATTGGACCACCTTGTATAATACATTCATTGCTTACTACAGGATGGGTGTAGTTAAAATGTATCCACTATCAGCTATCACCCAGCATTTGTGAAAGTTCTTGTCAATCGGTCACTTTTATTGGTGTAGTCACTAGGTCACTCTTTCGCATATTGTTCGTAATTTTATTAAACAAAATATAATTTACAATATTTTACCGAATCCTCATTGTCCTTCCTTAAAAGGACGACACATTGTGACGACGCATTTGAAAATAAGGTAACTTTTTTCGATATAATTTCAAATTTAAGGGTAAAAAATAAATATTTTGAATTGAAAAATTAGAGCGAGTTGGGGACAAAATAGATTGGTGGAATTGGTTCTTGGACGAACTCCCATACAACTATACCCAGTCTCCGTTGTACTTATCTTTAAGTATTTTCTTTATTGCTATCTAGATATGAAATCATCACATCAAAATCGGCAACTCCAACTAATCTTGGAGGATTTGTTATATTGCAGATAAAACTTAGTTATATTATGATAACTATAAATTGTTTTATGCTATCATAAGCTGAATGACAACCAACAATTTCATTAACTAGGTACTTTATAGGAGCGTTCGTAATATCTAAAGACCATAACTTGATTTACTTGGTGCGCCCGCGCAGTCTCAACGCAAACTCGCGCGCATACTGTCGTGTCACGTTTCCACAATGAGGTGAGACTTCAAAACTTTCGTTCGATTATTTCCAAACAGTAAAAATTTGTCTCAGCGTTGGTTGTTCGAAATTCTAATTCGAAAGTTATGTTTCATAAAGAAAATGTAAGGAATGATAAAAGAAGGAAAAATAAGGAAACTCGTTTTGAAATATCATGTGTTGCATTCTCCTTGCTATGCATAATTTGAGGTAACATTTTTCTTTTTTTTTTTAATAAAGCCGGTTTTTCGTAGGCTTTGATAACATGTAAGAATGTTTGTTTACGACTTGACTGTGCTGCCTGAGTATACCGCGTAATCGCGGAGTTGATAAATCTAAGTCGAATAAAACCTTGTAATCTTTATTAGAGGACTAACTGACTGCAATAAAATATGGGTAAGTATAACAATTTTCATATCTGTTTAATTAAAGCAAAAATGTTTCAAAATACTGAAGTGTATGTGGGTATGACATGTTTAAAGAAAGTTATTATTTTTTGTGAAATATTTTAATGATCCTCATAAAAAAGAAATATTTTTGGTACACCTAAAGTTTAAGTTAGGTTCCCAATTGTATTTTTTGGGGATCATTTAATTACGCGCCATATTTGTTCATAATGGCATGTTTGTAAAATTCATAGTTTAGATCCTTTTTATTTGATCTGAGTTTACGAAAACAAAGTTCACATAGTTTTTTTTCGTATACAATTACAATAGTGTGACGTATACAATTAGGTTGAGCGCTAAATTATTTTGCATTTTTATGTCAATCAATGTCAGTGAATGAATCTCGTATTACCGTATTGCCGCTAAATTCCCTATTTGGGAGATCGGCTTTACTCGTCGTCATTGGGCAGAAATAACAAAAAACTTTACCACAAGGTTGAACTCGATGAGGTTACGATGTCGGGGAGAAAAAAAAAATGCATTGTTCCACAACAACACGACGCACGATGTAAACAATTGCAAAGCACGCTGCTTCATAGCGCATTCAACAATAATTTTATTTGTATGCCCATTGTATGTCCAATTCGTCAGAGGGGAAACCTGTGTATGCTTCCTGGCCGCATCCGCGTCGGCAGTCTATGCGAACAACTTTTGAAAAATATTTTGTTCATATTTTTATGCACAATTACCTATAAACAAGTATTTACCTAACAGTTTTACAACAACAAGTGTAATGATGTGAATGATACACAAAACCCACAACTATTGTATTATATTACCTGTGTGGAATTACCGAGTAAATACCTACTTACCATAGTCAAAAATGTACAGGTTCATTGAAAAGAGTATGATGGCAAGCTAATTGTTTAAAAAAGAACCGGTTGGCTTTTATAGGATTTTGTATAATAACCAACCATCTATTTATAACTATTTCTTAATAATACTCATCAATACCTTAGTCTGAATTGTATTATACTAAAAAAAATGGCCAAGTGCGAGTCGAACTGGCGCAAAAAGGGTTCCGTGTTTCCGTACACCAATATCTATACTTACAACATTAGACATTATATATTTTAATAACGAGTAAAAACGGAAAAATATCACCATATTTAGGAACACTTTATACCAAAATTTCACATTCTTAACTATTTTGGATTTTGACATATAAAAATTGGTCGATAAATGTCAACTTTGACGGCCCCCTATTTCTTTGTTATGAAAATAAAATAAATTATAAAAAATAAAAAACAAATTATCAGTTTTTCCTACTTCACAAGCTCTAAAGCTCTAGACAATGATGTATCACATGCTAGGGTAAAAGCGCTTCGCCAGGCCATTGGTGGTTGGTGGGATTTGTCATCCCCTATAACACAACCTTCGGGTATTATTATCGCAACAAAGGGTGTCATAAATCCTACCCCGATATCTCCTGTCTATGCCAAAATTCTTCAAAGTCGGTTCAATGATTTATGCAAAAAATGTACCGAAAACAGACTTTAAATTCTGATGTTGTGATTTGTAACTTTTTGTTTTTTGAGTTCTCGTTACTTCTTCGTCATAATCACGATGTGTACGTCATAAAGGGGAAAATAACAATAAGGTGATTCCCATATTCTATTTCCCACGATTACCATTCCAGTAACAAATCAACGTAAGTGTCTTCTTTCCTTGAATGAGGAAATATCGTTAAAATTACTCAGAAACTGCTACAACTACTAAAATAACAAGGCTGTTCCACAAAGTACTAAGCTCCTAGGATATAATTAAAAAGTGAAAATGAAAAATATTTATTGTGTAACCAAATATAACTACTAAAATAACAAGACTGTTCCACAAAGTACTAAGTTCCTAGGATACAATTGAAAAGTGATAATAAAAAATATTTATTGTGTAACCAAATTACATCAAGAAGATGCGTGCTTCATTTCTTTATTAATTAGTGTAATATTAAAGCTTTCTTACACTCAGGCGTTTACACAAAGTGTACCTAGAATTTTTCTGTTACAAATCTGTCTGAGCTCCTCAGTCTTGAATACGAATTGATTTATTTGGATAATGAAAAATACCCAGGAACGATTAATGTAGCCTAGTTTGTACCGGGGCGCGACGTTAGGCCGTATACAGAAAGAAAGCCGAAAACCGATCAGCGCTTATCGGAGCTGATCCTTTTTCTATGGACCAGCGCCGATAAGCGCCGATTAGCGCCGATAAGCGCCGACAAATGCACACGCGCTAATCAGCTAATCATTATGATCTATGTTGTCCGAATAATAAATGATTTGTATTTGAATTATTATCCTTATAAATCAATCTAAGTTATAATCTTTTCATAAATCTAATAACTTTATCTTTTATTAACTATTATTTGTTTCGTACTTACCGAATGGTGACAACAAGTCTTTCTTCTGGAAGGATTGGTTGTTTATGCCAATTACACCAATTTTTCATCAAAAGGTTTTTCACTGAATCCTATATGTAATAAAATGTTTCTTGAGTCATTCTTGTATATGTATAAAAGCTTTGATCACAAATAAATGATGGTATTCTCCGAAACGATTCCTTTCTCTATTTATAGGATGTATAGCTTTTTTTCGCATTTTTAAATACACATAAACAAAACCAAATCATCGGACGATACACATTAACAAAACACATGCATACATACATGTGTATTTTGCTTGGTCTGCTTTAATCGGCTTCCTTTATGTAGTAAAGAACAGCGCCGATAAGCGCTGATCGGCTTTTGGCTTTCTTTCTGTATACGGCCTTAGTAGTTATCATCCACGATACAATATTATGTCTAACTATAACAGTTATATATATTACCCTACATCCTTGTTGCTTTTTTTCTACCGTATCGAAATGAAATAGTAATAGATATAATATATATGTATCCACAATGTATCAATGTATTGTTACGTGTCGGGATGTCCACTCAGTTCACACAATTAACACACAATGCTAATTACTAAACACTGTATTTCACTATACAAGTCTCTAAACAATCGCACTTGAACACTTTTTCAATTTTTTTTTTCAAATTCAAATTCAAAAGATTTATTGTGAAATAAAGGTTAGTACAGCAATTTGGTGTTAGATAAAAAGTTTAGTGTCACTACATTTCGACCTTATTACAAGGTATACAATATTTTTTAAGTAATAATCAGATTTACAATTATATAAAATTCAAAATTATTATATTACAATTACAATCAACAAGTCATAGTTAGAAATAAATGTCAAAATATGTTTATGTCAAAATTACTAAGCAATATTTTTATGTCAAACTAAAAATATATAATAATAATAATAAATTGTGCTATAATAGGCTAAAAATATGAGTTAATTAGGTAATGATGTCCATTTCTTTCAAGGAAGTGTCACTAAGAAACTCTTGTGTAGTATAATATACTTTGTCAATTAACAGTTTCATTAAGCGTTTCTTAAAAATAGTCATTGGCAAACTCTTTATATTATTAGGTATTTTGTTAAAGATTGCAGTAGCCATACCAAAGACACTATTGCTAAATAGTGCAGTTTTACGTTCCATTGCACATAATGTATTCCCTATCCCTCGCCTATAGTTCCTATGCGAATCCTGTTCTATAAATGTAGGAAACATATGGAAGTTATTTTTGACGAACACTGCAACTTCATAAATATATAAGGAAGGTAATGTCAAAATTTTCAACTGCTTAAATACCTCCTTACAACTATCAGTAGACTTTAAAGCCTTAATAGCCCTGATGCATCTTTTTTGCGCTTTAAAGACCATTGTTTTATTTGTAGAATTGCCCCAGAATATTAACCCATAGCGTAATATGGATTCTATATATCCATGATAGGCCATTAAGACGGTCTTGGTGTTTGCTATCTTAGAAAGCTTGAACATGACGTAAGCAGAGGAACATAACCTTTTGCAAAGCATCTCAGTATGAGATTTCCAATTCATTTGATAGTCAATTTGTACACCTAGAAATTTAATGTCAGAGACTGATTCAATTATGTCATCATTAATATCTAAAGTTACATTCGGTTTGTGAGCTTTTTGTCTAAAATGCATTATTTTTGTTTTATTAGTATTAAGTATTAGGTTGTTTAATTTTAACCAGTCATTAACATTTTTCAGAGCTACATTTATTTTTTGTTCGTAAGTGAGGATGTCATCACATTTGATTATGGCAGTACTATCATCGGCAAACATTATGATAGGGTGATCAATAACAGTTAATAGATCATTTATGTACACATTGAAAAACAAAGGTCCTACTATGCTGCCTTGTGGTACACCTACTTCCACATCTCTACAATCTGATGAAAATGTCTTTATCATTCCCGATTTACTACATAACTTTGTTATAACAGTATACTGTTTCCTGTTACTGAGATAAGACCTCATCAAATCATGTGCTATACCTCTTACACCATAAGAGTAAAGTTTGTTCAGCAGCAATCTGTGATCAACATGATCAAACGCACTTGTCATGTCCATAAATATCGCACATACATGTTGTCTTTGATCAACAGAATTAATAACAGACTGTAACAAGTGATAAATTGCCTTATTTGTATTT